CCCCAAAACCCCAAAACCCCAAAACCCCTAAAAATAAGGAGTAATTGAAAATAACAGATTAATTATAACAAATTTATCCTGATTTCTCTTTATGATCTATTGGTGAATACTCTTCAATCTATATTAAAGCTCGTCTTTTTAATTTTGGGCAATTTGATTTACCTTTTTAGGAATCCATGGGATAAAACAGTTTGTTTGCTTTTTATACAACTCAAAGCCTTCTCTTTCTTCAAACTTTTTCTCAATAATTGGAACTCCAGAGACATATCGAAGTGTCAATGTGATTATTAGAGGGGCCCAAATGGTAACATATCCCCATTTGATTGAGCAAGCTGTGATGTAGACTCACCACCATACTAAAGATTCGAAGAAGAAGTTAGGATGGAGTGACAACTTCCAGAGACCGATAGTTCAGATCTTTCCTTTGTTTTCTTCATTCTTCTTAAACACCAGTATTTGCATGTCTGAGACGAACTCTAAAACTATTGCTGCTAAGGTTATGATCCATCCAATCCATTCAAATGCGAACAAGTCATCTTTTTCATGAGAATAGATTGCTATGAAATGGGCTGAACTAGAGATTAGTAACATAGTGAGCCAGGTCATAATAAAGAACTCCTGAAAGGATGATTTCAAGGAATTTTCCACCAGCTTCTTTCCATTTTTGCCTCATTTCTGCGAAGCGCCAATCTTCACCATTATGATTAAGTAAAACATAGAGAGCCATTCTGATTGCCCAGATCCAAAGCAATGCAAGTGTGACAATGGTTCTATAATGTCAGTTTCCGTTCAGAATGAGTATTACCGTCATTGAACTACCTAAAATATTGCTGATGAGAACTTACTAACTATGAGACCCCAGAAAATATCGACGATTCCATTATTCTTAAAAATAAGTGCGAAGATGTACAAGACAACTTGGATGCCAAAGATGGTAGCAATTGGGCTCCAGAAGTCCTCTGCTGATGCTTCTCGTATTATGCTAAAATTATTCAATATTTTAATTATCTCAAGGGGTTTTGGGGTTTTGGGGTTTTGGGG